CAGTACTTAGAATGTTAAAAAAATAATATGAGCTTCCATAATGTGTAATTAGACAATTATTATGATGATATAATTAATAAAAGACAAGGGGTTTCATAAATACTTATTATAATGTCCTCATTCATAACAGTATTAACACATGCATTAGGAACAATCCACTCTGTTTATGTGCCAGACGGAATGCAGAACGATATACAGAGACAATATGTGTGATGTGATGTAGTTTTATCTTTTATATCCAAAATAATTAACAAATGCTTATTTGTGGACTGTACTGTTATGCTGGTTGTTAGGTGGTTTGAAAAGCTGAGAGATTCCAATAAAGTAATTACTTAAAACTGAGAATCCCCATCTGTTGTCTAACCAAATTAATGACAACCTTCGCTGTGGGGACCTATGGGGAATACACCACCAGTACATCTTACTGTCTACCACTGTGTTGTGTACTTAATAAGTAAATTCTGACAATGTCAAAAATATCAAATATACGCTACACATACTGTGTTTTTCATGTAGACAGAGGTTTCAATTAGGGGATTCCATGAAACCTGGGATGGGTGACTCGGGTACTCGGGTCGGGTGGGTCCTGAGTAGGACCTGGGTATCCATAGGACTACCCGGACCATTGGTTAGTCACGTGATATATTGTTTAATGACAAAAATTCACTATAGCTCAGTGTCGCTAATGTTCACATTTCTTTCTGATGATGCACACATTCCTTTTGACTTGTAAATGTTTGAGTAAATTTTAGATAAAGCTTCAGTCAACTTCGGTGAACTCATGATCTGATTGTTTGATACATGTATCTAAATAGTTTTAGCCAGGGCAGCAGTAAGTAAAACAATTACCAATCAGACATTTTGTTCCCTACTCTTCAGATTTGCAGAGGGTACCCGGGTAGGGTCGGTTAATAGGGGGTCGGGTACCCAAGTAGTAAATTTCGACTCGTCCCAGCCCTACTGTGGGTATTAAAAAACGACAACCTATTGTCAGTACTGGGATTAGCAATGTGACAAAACATGTTGGTTTACAATATTAACGCTACCCTAAACCACGATCCCTTTCTACAAACGAGATTTAACTATATGAGTTTGGACATTTTGTGTCATATCCGTTTTGACTAGTACTCCATGTTCTGTCGTTTTTCGAAAATGATTCAGTTTGTTGTGGTAAATGTTTTAATCTATACGTCTGAATTTATCATCAAGTTGGATATTTTCCTCTGTGATGCCACCAGAAGAGTAGATTTAAACGCTTCTAGTTCATTCAAACTTGAAAGGGGGCATAAGGCACGTAAGAGGATATACATTAAACATCATTTGCAAATATGCCGACAGTCCCAAGTGCAAAGACATTTTTGAGGCAAAATGTACATAATTAATCACTTACCATGTTTGCAAATCAAAATATGTCAGATGCCACGTGTATCGAGGTCGGAAAAGTTAGTTTCTAAATGTTGGGTTTTCGTGAAGACAAAATCAGTAACGAAAGTTGGAAAATGTTCTGGGTTTTCCCGCTAATGTTATTTATAGCTCGCTTCCGGTTTAAGCTCCAAAGCTCAGGACAACGCTTGTACAAAAGGAATGTATTGTAAGCGACTCCTCCCCATGTAGACCACGTCAGCCCTAAGCACATTTCACAATCACAAAATATTTTAATAATGGGTTTAGGAGTGCAAAGTATCGAAAGACAATTCGCATTTATGTTTATGAACACATCTGACCTTGAGAATGTTTTAATTTTTTGCTCTCTCCTTAAACTATGCAATGAATATTATAATAATAACAACAATAGGGTCGACAGTCTTTCTGTCTGTCTATCTATCTATCTATGGTTGTAGTTAAACTGTGTGGAACATTTTACCAGGTTAAAATAATAGGAGGTGCTGATAAATAGGATTGGAGGTACAAATGCATACTGATCAGCAGCTACTTCCTGACTGTATGTATGAAATATCCGAAAACAAACAGCCAGCATAATTTGGGGAATATGTTTGTGATCAGTATAGCTCCTCCTTATCATGAGAGTCCACAATACTGAGGATCAGGTGCTCACAATGGCTGCCTTGTATGGTTACAGTAGTGATGAGTGACCACTAGGACAGCCCCACCCTCAGCTGTGATGTGGATGATTGTCATCACACCTGGACATCCTCACCATCCTGGCTGGGTGTTCACACCGGTGACCACTGACCACTGCAGGGTGGAAACAAAACTGAAAATCCTTTGTGGTCATCTATTTAATTTGACACCAACACCTGAAATCAAGGAAACTTTAAGATTCCCACATCAAGACTGCAGGATCGAGTCTCCATTTTATTATTTAACATGGAAACATGTAAAAAAAAAAAAGGAACCTAAAAAATAAAAATGTAATACATGTAATGGAAATAATGTTTAAAAAACCCGTTTTCATGCATTTGTAAAACCTCGGAAGAAGAAATATATCTCAGACTGCTAAAATTATTTAACCAATTTATGTTTGAAAAGGTGATGACCTCTTCCAGTCTCTGAGATCAAACTGTGTGTAGTTTGATGGCTATCATCTAGACAAGTTATATTATGCATAATATTGTTCCTACAACACAGGAAGTAACATAAATTATGTCACTTTTTAAAACGTTTTTTTCCATCAACTATATCTACTTTACTGTGCATTCCTGCACTTGTTTGTAATGTCCACTCTTGATAACATGAGGTTATCATGACCCAGCAATAATATTGCTGACTCTGGCAAAATAGAGACCATCACTCCAAACACTGCCCCAAATAGCAGAGAATAGTGGTATCAGTTCTAGGCAGTGAGTTGTGACAGTACAATACTGCCCCGAAAAATGATAGTGATTCCTCGATATACCGCTGTCATCGGGGTCCAAGATCCTGACTCCGCGTTCTAAGATAGAGCATTGTACAGATATTCATTGCTGATGTTCACATTACGTAATGATGGTAGTGAATAGAACAGTGGCACAATTATTTCACAGTGGAATGGGACATGTAGATCCATGTAACACTGGTTGTGGAGGATGATTCAAAATGTATGTGTAAAAAAATACAAATACTTTTTAGTGTAAATGAATCAAAGTACAGTGTAATATTTGACTTGAAGATTTTGTGAAACTAGACTCATTTTTCTCAAGTTGCCCATTTTAACAATAATACATTTAATATGATCATTGATGAAACACAAAAAAACATCAAGAGCCATTTTTCCATTTATAATACTTTATTATAAACAGTCATACAAGTGAGTAGTCTATGACAGCAACATTATGTACACTTCTAGCTGCTTAAAAGGTTTACATTTAAAGGGACAGTAGGTCTCTTGGAGACTGGCCCAGAATGCGGGGTCACATTAACATCCTTGTCATTGTTTTGTGAAGAACTTGCACATAGAAGAAAATGATAATGAGATGCTTGGAAAGAATTCATTCTCTACAAATTTCATTTATTTTCAAACTAAAAGAACAATTCTTTCTATCAACAAAATATTTGTTTATCAGTTTTCTTCCAGCTGTATATGACGATGGTTTGTAAGATTCTAGGTGAGTGAGTGGGGTTTAACGCCGCTTTTAACATTATTCCATTTATATCACAGTGTGTCAGCTTAATGTGAGAGGAAAGCCTAAAGTGATGCAGGTCTCAGAGGTTTACCACTTTGGTGAAACCCACGAGCACGGGTATGGTGCTGACAAACCTAGAAACATAATCGGGCGAACCGGGATTCGAACCCACAATCATAGGTTTCTGGGGTGCCCAAGGGACGCAACTCTGTACAGCGAATCGTGGCGCCTTAGACAACTGGGCCGGCTCTGCCCCCATGTAAGATTCTGGATCAGACAAACCAGTGACTGATAGTATGAACATGGATCTGTGACATGCAATCAACAAAGTCACAGAATCTTACCACCTGATCTAGTCGACTCTTACGACAAGCATATGTTACTGCTGACTTATTTCTAACCCTGATCAACAAAATCAGATTGACTACATACATAACTATATCCTGTGTCTGGACCATGACACATTAACATTTATTTTAACTCCCAGCTAAGTTATGAAAGAATTCTAAGATAGCTGTACCATCAATCATTAGTATTGAAATAATTGGTCATGAAGAATTAAGCTGTTTGTATGTTGAGAAAATAAATGACTCATTTCAATCATTTCATTGACAAAATCAAAAAAAAGTTGGCAAGGACTGAATCGACAAGTGTGTCCTCTGATAAACTGCACTTTTTGCTGTGTTATGTAAGCAATTTATAGTTTCATATCCACTAACAAGCCATAAAGGGGGAAAAAGTTTACCAACAATATCTTTGTAGCATTGTGTGCCAGGGACGAGGAAGCAGTGTGATGTGAAGCACTACCAAGCGGGTATGGTGGTCATTAGGTGGAATATGGAACCAGTACCATGGGAAAGCTAATCTCATAAGAAACACTTTCTGAGCATTCTGATTTCTACAGATTAAAGTGTGAACTCTTATGAAAACTCAACATTTTTCTTTTAAGCTATACTTTATTTTGATGGTTTACCAATCTACTGACCAGGAAAGAATGAAACGTGGACAAATATGCTATTGAAATTTCGATAGGTATAATCAGATGTCATTCTTTTAAAATGTACACTTGACATATAAAAAACAGTTTTGTGTATCATGGAAAGATATAGAGAATCTCACCCGAGTGTCTTTTGATATAAAATATATCAACACGAGTTGATAAAAGTTGAAAAATTCCGAGGCTTGCCAAGGATTTTTGCCAATGAGTGTTGATATATTTGATATCAAAAGTCACTTGGGTGAGATTTTATTTATTATCCAACATCATTCTTTCAACGTTTTCAATTTGTAGACATTTATTAGCAGTGTCTTCAGTGTAAAAAGTACTGCAAACAGCTTCAGTAGCAGAGCCATTAGTGATGTCATTTGATTGTGACTTCATGGTTACCATTGACGTCACAATGGTCTGCAAAGCATTGTGATGTAATTTCATTGCAGCGATATCTACAGTGTAGATATTGCTTGATCTCATCCAAACAATATCTCCTGTGGAAGCAAGTTTTGGATGATAAAAAAATATCTGTATGAATAGTTGAGTAGTATATTTATGGCATTGCATGCAACACAACCATGCTTCATGAAGGCTTTCCTACCAACATAGTTTAAAGCAGATCTTGTGCACCATCAAGAAGCCTCACTGTGTGAAGATGCAACAAACTATCCACAGGAGGTCATGTCAGGTGAACTCTGAGCCAACTTTGACCTCAGAATCCAAATGAAGGATGCTTGGGTTTTTGAGCCAATCAGATGTTACATTTTAAAATGATTCTGTTTAATTTCTTTACCACCTCAATTCAGACATCTTAATCTTAACAAATAGAAAACAAAATAGAACACAAATATATCTACATGGAACATCTACAACAATGTAATAGTGCAGCCTTTATTATTTCAATTCGGAACTGCCGGTCAAAGGTTAATTTCAAGATACAGAAATCTGATAAGCTCCTCATGCTCATACCAAACTTAGAAGTCTCGATGCTGATTGGCTGATTATTAAATTCACAGGAAAGATGTAAAATTAAATGACATAATGATGTTACTTGTAACAAATGTTACTTATATTTCAGTGGGATTGAAATTGCTTCCTTCGTATTTGTAGCCTACGGCGTCAACCACTCGGCTGCATGGCCACTGATAAACCACAATGCTTTTAAGAATCTCATTTTAAAGTAAGCCAGCAATAGATATTGAACAGTCGTTTCCTAAGGTTCATGGAAAGTGGGTTGGAAACAACGTTGCTCATTAATGTTGTTTCAGATTTTCTTTGGGTTGGTTAAAAATATAAAGAACTAGGGTCGGGACAAACTCCCTGCCCATGAGTTTGTTCCATTCTCTCATCTTTACATTTTCAACCAAATGCACGGGAGCATGTTTTATCCTTTACGTACACTAAATACACATTATGTTATCAATGGAAATCAGAGCAACCCAGTGCCACAATGATATTTAAAATGAAATATTGTTTGTTAGTTTTCTCTGTGCATGGTGCAATGTCTCACTCAGCAATATGTATGATGGAGGCCTGGAAATAAACGAGTCTGGACCAGACAATTCCAGTGATTGATACAGAGAGCAATAACAACGCCGTCGGGTATGATGACACGCTATAACCATATTGTCACTAATGGAACAATGAAACAACACAACACATCTACTCCAGAAGCTGATGATCAACATTGTGCCTAGACTGCAGCAATTTCCAATATATTATAATAACATGTAAATAATGGCTCAAATAACTTCAAAAAGCAAACAAACAGGGACTGCTTCGAGTCTACATTGAGCCAAATACTTAATTACCATAGTCTGTTTCTAATACATGTTTAACTAGGGGGAACCCCGGGTAAGGATATACAATGATATAGGTACCAGGTACCAGGTTGTCATAAGATGTGACTGAATGGATTGGGGGTCAGGTTCGGTGACTTGGTTGAATGCATGTCATTATATCCCAATTATGTGAATTGGCGTGCATGATATCAATCACTGACAGTCTGGTCCAGACTTAATTGTACAGACCACTGCCATATAACTGAAATACTTCAGCGTTAAACAACGAACAAATTAATACATGTTTGTGTGGTACATGTATACTGCACTCCTGAAGCTCAAGGTTTACCGCCACTTTGAAAATGTTTGTTTGTTTGCTTGTTTGTTTGTTTGTTTGTTTTTTAATGCCACACTTAGAAATATTCCAGCTATATGACAGCGGTCTGTAAATAATCGAATCTGGACCAGACAGTCCAGTGATTGATATCATAAGCATCGATCCATGCAATTGGGATCGATGATATGCATCAACCAAGTCAGAGAGCCTGACCACCTGATCCCCTTAGTCGCTGTGATACAAAGTTCTTATGAGAATCACAGTCCCTGTGACGCTGATGTAATCTTGGAACGGAACCAACAACCAGTGAATCCTGGCATGGCCAAGGGGCATTACTCCGATCCCATGTAAAAAACTCTGACTCTGACATGAGCAAGTGAGTGTTGTTTAGTGCCACAGTAAGCATACTTCCATCTCTAGGAAATCATCCATGTCTTGACCAGACAAACTAGTGACTGGTATTATGAGCAATTTCCAAAGTGGTCAGGATGCAATGACACTGAATCAACCAAGTCAGTGAATGAGACCACCTAACCCACTTGGTTGTCACCCACCGTAAGCACAGGTTGATGGGTTCCATTTCTACACTACAATCTCCTTCACAAAATGAATAACAGCCTAGTTCAACTTTTATAGGCAGTTAACGCCCTTTGCCACGGGAAGATGGATGTTAAACGAAACACATGTTAAAACTTATATTAACTTTAAGATTCGAGAGACGAGGGGAAATACATATACATATCTGAACAGCATTATAGAAAATTCTTTCAGTACATACCCAATCTTCTTTCTGTGATGTTACTTTAAGGTCAGACCACAAACATGCTTCCAAATAAGAATAACTATCATCATCCAATTAAATCATTTCTTTCAATGGACTTTCTCTAAGGAAGTGTGATTATCTATTTGAATGTGGCATTTCACATAAAACAATTGATGATACACAGTATCATTTTAGAAATATGTATTTTTTAGGGTAAATATATATATCTTTTATACTTATCCTGACTCGTACTCATTGCTTATTTCATCTGATTCAGAGAAGGTAGTGGAAACTCCTGTGTTGTCTTCCCCAGAACAGAGAAAAACATCTCACCCAAACGCACTCCTCATCCCCGAATCCACACCAGAAGCATGTGACCAAGCCAATACACTCGTCACTCTCTTTTCCGTTACCCTAACCGGCCTAATCTACGTATAGATGATAAATGGAAGAATGTGAAACTGTCTGCCTGGCTGACCTGGCAGTTGATTCTTGGTGATAAAATCCTATCGGAGACCAAGATGGGCTGATGTGTTGTTGCCATTGTTGAATCGAGTGCTGCTGAAATCTATGGCAAGGATACCTGACATTCTGGCAGTTCTTCAGTTGATCCTCTAGTCTGTAAGAATGGAGTAGAGTGATCAGTTGATGGACTTTAGTCATTTTGATACCGTTATACATGGTAAGAACAGAGCTGATACGCCCAGCGTTGAACCCTTGAGATTTTGGGTTCTGCAACTTGAGGTGAAGTGGCTTCAACTCCTGAGAATCCTTTACTTCTTGCAAATTGGTCGAAGCTCTTCCATTTGTCATCATATAGCTTTCTAGTAGATCTACAAAGAGCTAGGGAGACAGCTGCAGCAGCTCTGATTAAGTATTCTTGCCTGGTGAGGTTGTTTGTGATATGCTCAAACGTAAAGCTTGGATGAACCTGCTAGAGTGAGGATGAAGTCGGTTTGATGAAGTTTTAGTTCTGGACTCTTGCTGGCCAGTAAGATGCGACCAAAATCAGTAGAAGGCACTTTGTATGTCTGACCTTCTGTAGGACTGATGGTAACAGTGCTGGTGGGGGAAACACATAAACATGAAGTCCTTCCCACAACATGGCCAGTGCATCGTTGGCCCAAGGTTTGAAGGTCTGGAACTGGGGCGATGAAGGCCTTTATTTGATTATTGAATCTGGTTGGAATAATTAGACGGTGTAGGTGGTTTGTTGAGAGTGAGAGTGTGTTGTTGCTGCACGGCAAGTATCATTTGCTCAGTAAAACTAGCTACGAAATCGTTGGATGAGGGGAGGCATGGTACCTTGGCGATTAAAGCTGGGAACGTAGGAGGCTGTGCCTGTGTAAACACTGCAGCCTGCGTGAATGGCAGGGGTTGAGTGAAGGTCTGAGGCTGGGTGAAGGCCTGGTCCTGGGTGCAGGTCTGTATGCCTGAAACCTGTGAAAAGTTAACGAGTGATGGAGGCCGCATGGAGGTTGACGGCTGCGAACAGGGAGCTTGCTTCTGTGACTTCGAAGTCGACTTCGTGGCCTCCTTGGTGGACATCTTTGTAGAATCCTCTGGGGCCAACGATGTGGACTTTGTGGAGGTTGGGACTGAGGCTGAGGGTTGCGTTTGGGTGAGATATTTTTATTTTTCTCTGTCCGTGGGAACACAGCACAGAAGTTTCAACTACCTTTTCGGAATGAGATGAGATAAGCAATCAGAATGAGTCAGTACAAGGTAAAATATATAATATTCTGTGTGCGGTGAACACTGAAAATAACAAAGGCCAAGAAACCCTCCAAATATACTTGTCAAACTCAAAGTTTGTTATTTTCAATAACCATGATTGCCAGTCCTGGGATTTAGAGAGTTTATCAAATCATCAAAACCCAACTTTGAGTTAGTTGACTCCACAAAAGGTGGCATACAATTCCTTTAACACCAGATCTTAGTGCTCACAGCTGCTACACAGAGGCCAAGGTCACAGTCACAGGACCTCAGCCATCTTTTAGACATCCCATAATTGTTTTTGGTTCAGTTATCAAAGTTTAGTCTGGAATGGAAGTTGCCATTTTGAAACTATTGCAGTAAAACATGAGAAAAATGCCTCTTGATTGGCTTATGTTGACTTCCTGTTTGTCATTTCATTGGTCGATCAAAGATTTGTGAAGGTGGTTCTGATGTGACCTGTAATGGGATGTCCCCAGATCTATGTGCAGTGGTAGCAAGCATGAAGATCTGATGTAATGAAATTGGGTGGCTTAAAATATCACAGATGAACATCTGCCTTGGACAAAAAATGTTCAGAAAAAGCACGTCAGTATTTCAAGAACAATTTTTCTCAGGAGTTTCCCTCCTGCTTCATTTTTGCGAGCTTGTCAGCGACATCACCACGGCCAATTTTGGCACAGCATTTTGCAAGTCGGCGAAGCTCTGTTGGAAATGCTTGTTCCTTCCACTTGCGGACCGTCTGGTAGCAGATCTCGTACTGACCCTCAGGATAGTAGTCAATTCGAATATTGTCCAGCTCTCCGTCTGTCAGTCCTAGTGCTCGTCCTAGATATTTCCAATCCTTTCCGATATTACATGCAATAACTTCCATTGCACCGGGGCCAGGGACCTCTGATGATTCTTAATGGAGAGAAACAAATCTGATTAAAAAGAGACATTGTTCAGCATGTTGAGAATATAAAGTCACAAGGTTCTGTAGCTCACCTGACCCTTTTCTTGAACATTTGCAATATCAGATTATTAAAGTCCTAATCAAAGTGTAAACAAGAATATCCTAACATGAACAACAGAAGATGGGATTCACCAAAACCTATTGATGTTTTTAAGCATCCTCCATACTGCATATGAATTTCATCAAAACACATCACTGGGTAACATGCAAAAATAATTTATTTGATATGGAAGCAAGTTCAGGTGAGCTAAAAGGTAAACACTAGCCCTGAGTATTGTGGATTTTTCTTGAAGACCCTTCATTTGGGTACATAAAGGTCTAAAGCAACTGAAAAGGTCAAAATACAAGGATAATGCCAGGACTTCTTCGCTAAAATATGGAAACTGTCAGATCAAGACCAACAGAGTAGCAGTGCATGCAATTCATTTTCTCATTCAATACAGCATCGAGAACGCACGAGTGTTGAACCCTGCACAATAAAACATCACTTCTACTGATGTTGAAATGTTCCATGGCTGACTTACTGACTAAAGGTAGTTTTGGCTCTATCATCGGTCGCAACCTGGGTCTTTTTGGATTGAGAAGGGAGTTCTCTGTGACATGCATGACGTTGTTGTAGCCAATCTGCAGGTTGGGGGCCTTGCCTGTTGTTCGGACATTGAACTTGGTGCCATCAGGACCTGGGCAGAAATGGGAGACTAATTACAAGAAGTGAATGTTTCATGTGAAAAGCAGCGTACTCATAACCCACAGTGAGATCATCAAGCTGCTTCAACATACAGCAGTGTACTCGAGATCCACAGCGAGATCATCAAGCTGCATCAACACATAGCAGTGTACTCGAGATCCACAGCAAGATCATCAAGCTGCTTTAACATATAGCAGTGTACTCATGACCCACAGCGAGATCATCAAGCTGCTTCAACATACAGCAGTGTACTCGAGATCCACAGCGAGATCATCAAGCTGCATCAACACATAGCAGTGTACTCGAGATCCACAGCAAGATCATCAAGCTGCTTTAACATATAGCAGTGTACTCGAGATCCACAGTGAGATCATCAAGCTGCTTCAACATATAGCAGTGTACTCGAGATCCACAGTGAGATCATCAAGCTGCATCAACACATAGCAGTGTACTCGAGATCCACAGCAAGATCATCAAGCTGCTTTAACATATAGCAGTGTACTCATGACCCACAGCGAGATCATCAAGCTGCTTCAACATACAGCAGTGTACTCGAGATCCACAGCGAGATCATCAAGCTGCATCAACACATAGCAGTGTACTCGAGATCCACAGCAAGATCATCAAGCTGCTTTAACATATAGCAGTGTACTCGAGATCCACAGTGAGATCATCAAGCTGCTTCAACATATAGCAGTGTACTCGAGATCCACAGCGAGATCATCAAGCTGCTTTAACATATAGCAGTGTACTCGAGATCCACAGCGAGATCATCAAGCTGCATCAACACATAGCAGTGTACTCGAGATCCACAGCAAGATCATCAAGCTGCTTTAACATATAGCAGTGTACTCGAGATCCACAGCGAGATCATCAAGCTGCATCAACATATAGCAGTGTACTCGAGATCCACAGTGAGATCATCAAGCTGCATCAACACATAGCAGTGTACTCGAGATCCACAGCAAGATCATCAAGCTGCTTCAACATATAGCAGTGTACTTGAGATCCACAGTGAGATCATCAAGCTGCTTCAACATATAGCAGTGTACTCGAGATCCACAGCGAGATCATCAAGCTGCTTCAACATATAGCAGTGTACTCGAGATCCACAGCGAGATCATCAAGCTGCTTCAACATATAGCAGTGTACTCGAGATCCACAGCAAGATCATCAAGCCGCTTCAACATATAGCAGTGTACTCGAGATCCACAGCAAGATCATCAAGCTGCATCAACATATAGCAGTGTACTCGAGATCCACAGCAAGATCATCAAGCTGCTTCAACATATAGCAGTGTACTCGAGATCCACAGCAAGATCATCAAGCTGCTTCAACATATAGCAGTGTACTCGAGATCCACAGCGAGATCATCAAGCTGCTTCAACATATAGCAGTGTACTCGAGATCCACAGCGAGATCATCAAGCTGCTTCAACATATAGCAGTGTACTCGAGATCCACAGCGAGATCATCAAGCTGCTTCAACATATAGCAGTGTACTCGAGATCCACAGCAAGATCATCAAGCTGCTTCAACATATAGCAGTGTACTCGAGATCCACAGCGAGATCATCAAGCTGCTTCAACATATAGCAGTGTACTCGAGATCCACAGCGAGATCATCAAGCTGCTTCAACATATAGCAGTGTACTCGAGATCCACAGCGAGATCATCAAGCTGCTTCAACATATAGCAGTGTACTCGAGATCCACAGCAAGATCATCAAGCTGCTTCAACATATAGCAGTGTACTCGAGATCCACAGCAAGATCATCAAACTACAAGTTAGAGGGACACATGTCAGGAGGTGATTTACCTGTGTAGTTGATGTATGCGTTGGTGTTGCCGCTGCTGCTGCTGCTGCTGCTGGTTCCTCCACAGGCTCCTGGCATCTCAGCAGAGGCATCAGTCTCTACATTCTGATTAACACAAGTTTATATTGCCAACAAATCACAAAACTAAAAACACAATAATTATCACATTCACAGTTTTTCCTGATTCTTTTAATCAAAACTGATCCCTTGGCCTCTTGGCAACTGAATTGGGTGTCCATTAGGGCTGGAACAAGTAAGTCAGGTACCTGAGTTCGGTTGGTCCTGCGTTGGACCCGTGAACAATCATATGTTTGTTTGTTTTGTTGTTTAAGACCACAATAGCAATATTCCAGCTATATGATGGCAGTCTGTAAATAATCAGGGGGCACGGGTGGCCCAGTAGTCTAAGGCGCCGCAATTCTCTGTGCAGAGTTGGGCATGCCAGAAACCTATGATTGTGGGTTCGAATCCCCGTTCCCCCCGATTATGTATTAAGGTTTGTCAGCCCCATACCCATGCTTGTGGGTTTCACCAAAGTGGTAAATGTCTGAAACCTGCATCACTTCGGGCTTTCCTCCCACATTAAGCTGACACGTCGCGATATAACTGGAATACTGTTAAAAGCGGCATTAAACCCAACTCACTCACTCACTGTAAATAAACGAGTTTGGCCAAGACAATCCAGTGATTTACATCATGAGCATCGATCCATGGGATACGATGACATGCATCAACCAAGTCAGCGAGCCTGACCACCCGATCCCATTAATCGCCTCTTACAACAAGCATAGTCGCCTTTTAAGGCAAGCATGAGGTTGCTGAAGACCTATTTTAACCCGGATCTTCATGGTTCTCCTGCCAATAGTAATGCTTTGTGCATCAGGCTTGTGGGAAACAGTAGCCAAAGATTTTACTATTTTCTAGACATCCTGGTAGTGTCTATTTTCAATCCATGTTTAGTGCTGACTGCATCTTCTATGAAAAATAACATAATTATTAAGAGACAGTTAAACACATTTACCATCACTATTGATGGTGAGCGAGTGAATGGTGTCGTGAGCAATGGCTGTTTTTACATGTAGACCATGATGGGACTAATTCCACTGCACCCTCTCCCACTCCACCCACTCTCTGATATACTGATCTCTCTCACCTCTGGCATGGTTGGCTTGGACATCTTTGCGTCTGTATCCCTGGTTTCAGCCTATCTGGAGCTGTGAAAACAGAAGTGAGTGAGTGAGTGTGGTTTTATGCCGCTTTATTCCAGCAATATCACGACGGGGGACACCAGAAATGGGCTTCACACATTGTACCCATCCATGCTGGGAATCAAACCCGGGTCTTCGGTGTGACGAGAGAACGCTTTAACCACTCGGCTACCCGACCGCCCCTGTGAAAACAGGACACTGATGAGAATGTATACTGAGGTTATCTTGGACACTGCATCTTCCTGTCCACTAGCCTACATCAAAACCTAGTTTTTTAAAGAGGCTAGTGGACACTTGCTTCAGGAAGATGAGATTCTGTGACAAAATAAATTTCAGTGTCACAATACAAAATAACTAACACACATTGATTTAATATATAACGCCTGTCTCCTCTGTTTTTTTGGGATTGGATTTAGTGAGTGAGTAAGGTTTTATGCCGCTCTAAGCAATATTCCAGCAATATCACGGTGGGGAACACCAGAAATGGACTTCACACATTGTACACATGTCAGGTCTTTGGCGTGATGAGCGAAAAATTTAACCAATTGGCTACCCAACCGCCCCTTTAGGGATTAAAAATAATATGATACTATGACAAAATATAAAAATGTTAATGGTATCTCACTAAATAAACCTGGGGATGGAGAAACTGAAATTTCTGGGTCCATAATTCTGGTTATATACTAACAGTCATACAACATGGGGTGCAGGCTAAAATGGCAGAGTTCACCGGGCTAAAACGTCACCTCTTTCGCAAAAACAACTACTAAAGGGCCAGTGAAAAAGGGCATCCCATCTGAATAACGATAAGATGGATTTATGTAGTAGTATATATGTGTTATTCATTGGTAACATCATTGATTTTATTTCTATACACAGCACTAATATCATTGTCTTCAAACAAATTTTTCACCATATTTCAGCATGAATATTTATCATCTTTGTCAACTATCAATATCATTGTCATCTATCGAGTCCAGTTTTCCACCATATTACAGCATTAATATCATTGTTATCTATCGAGTCCAGTTTTCCACCATATTACAGCACTAATATCATTGTCATCTATCGAGTCCAGTTTTCCACCATATTACAGAACTAATATCATTGTTATCTATCGAGTCTAGTTTTCCACCATATTACAGCACTAATATCATTGTCATCTATCGAGTCTAGTTTTCCACCATATTACAGCACTAATATCATTGTTATCTATCGAGTCTAGTCTTCCACCATATTACAGCACTTATATCATTGTCATCTATCAAATCTTTATTTCAGCACGAATTATTGTCATCTTTATCATTGTCCTCTTCATTCCTGCAAATTTCTTTACACTCATCTACCGAAATTCCAGTACCACAAATACCATGTACATGATACAGCATGTTGCTTTTCCTATTTACTCCAATAAGAAACAATTCTTGTTATGCATCTATAATACCTTTTCAGTTTGACATTGATTTAACTTGAGTAAAGGTACTTAAAACTTCAAAGTATGTTATGTTTTCACAATAAGTTTTGTTACGCCTCCCTTATCTTTGTTTGTTGGTTGGTTGTATAACACTGGACTTATTCCAGCTATATGACGGTGATCTGTAAATGATCAAGTCTGGACCAGGCAAGCCAATGATTGACATCATGAGCATCAATCCACCTAACTGGGATACACTGACATGTATGAACCAAGTTAGTGAGTCGGACCACCTGATCCTGTTAGTCGCCTCTTACGACAATCATGGATACTAACCTGGATCTACATGAGTCCTCCCTAATCTGAAATGGCAAGTAAATTGGAGGAAAAGCTAATTTGTAATGTAAACATGCTTTAAGGTGAAACTGTTAGTTAAACTTCATTTGTTGCTTGTAAAGTAAAAAATATATAAGGTGTCGTTTTCGTCTCAAAATGTTAGCTGTTTTCACTTTGGGTGAGGGTGCCGTTTAGCTACAACGCTACAACATGAGACTGATATATATGCTGATTGATGTATTGTCTCTGATACATCTGGCAGGTATGAACATTTAAACAGACATGTCAATGCTTAAAACACCATGGTGCACAAACACATAGTGTAAACATAGCAGCATTGTCTCTTTTGTAGATTTTGTTCATGTCAGTTGAAGACACACTTACTAATTCACTTATTACACTGAAACATCATCAAGACAGGCATGATGCTGATAACAATAAGACCATCTTTTTCTAGATTGGAAATTGTCATCAGTGTGTGAAGCATGGAACTTGAGCTGGACTATCCTTACTGACGTTGGTTGCAATAATCTAGAAAGTTATCTCACACCTGGAGGTGTTATAACACACTGAAGTAGGGTAGTCATATTTGGTTGAAAACCGGAACAGGTAGGGAATAACACAGTTATCAAGATGACTATGCAAGTAACAAAACGATTGTCTTTTGCTAAAAATAATAATAATATTTTCATCGAAACAAACCTCAATAACATACGCTTTGCGTAGAAGTGACCATAAATCCTCTCCTGGAAACACGGAAATATATTGAAACGAAAGTAAAATCTGCGCAATGACGGAAGTAAACTTGGATCCTGTCTTGTGTTTCGCGCTATCTCGTTCCATGCACCGTTCAATCCGCCAGTCCAATATACACGCTGTAAGGAGCTCTTGGTGTTTCAATCGCATTCTGAACGTGTAACCAGTCCACACTCCCGGGAACTTCTTTAAGAGTTCGCTCCCTTTGTTAAGCGCAAATCTACATATCGGGGTTTTCCATAGTATGTTAAACAGGATGCCCACACGTGGGAATTTTGTGCAATGATTAATAGTCCATGGTGTGAATTTAGAATATGGGATAATCCGATGGTACTGCCCGGCATTTAGGGCAAGTGGGTGCGTTATTGAGACTATTGCTTAAAATTACTGACAGAATGTCGGGTTTCTTGGGATCCCAAGCATGCATAGACGTTGTTTCATAGGCATTAAGAAGTTGACGGATGACAAAGTAGACGTCTTGCTTGACAACGGTATTAGGATCTTTTCCGAAACGTCGCCTTTACAGTAATTAAAGAAGTTGTTATCCATAAATTGTGTCTACTTTGCACAAAAGTTATAAAGGTTCCAGTCAAAACGACCAGTGAAATATCAGATTGAAAACTACCACATCTTTAGTCACATACAAAGTATGTATGGAGTGGCTTCAAAATAGAGCTACATTTGTCAAAGCGTTCCCGGGCGCTTCCGCCTCTAGCGGTTTGCATGTATCTCTTGAAAAGTGCGGCTTAATTAGAGTTTTTTACTTGATTTGTAAAAGTTTGTCACTTATCAAAACTTATAAACAAATGAAGTAACAAGAGAAGCCGATCTTCCCGAGGCAGGGATGTTCGATGCCTGAATGTAGTATTTTTCAAACGTATCTGGACAACTCCTTGACAACAAACTGCTTATCTTTTCTGTTTTGTACACAACTATTGTGATTTAGAAGGGAGATTATTTACACAGGTAACATATATTATATATGTTTGGTTCAGTTTGGCTCCTGTTATGTTATAATGATTTCAACTAAAATGCCAAAGAGAACTATCCCCAAGTTGCATCATTTTTAACGCACACACGTACACATACGCACGCAGGCACGCACACGCATTTCATTGAAACAGCAATCATTACAATAAACCACATCAGAATGAAAGTGACTATATTTATTATTAATCACATTTTTGTTTTGAATGAGTGAGTGAGTAGGGTGTAACGCCGCTTTTAACAGTATTCCAGTTATATCACGGCGTGTCAGCTTAGTGTGGGAGGAAAGCCCGAAGTGATGCAGGTCTCAGACGTTTAAAACTTCGGTGAAACCCACGAGCATGGGTATGGTGCTGACAAACCTAGAAACATAATCGGGGTGAACCGGGAATCGAACCAACAATCATAGGTTTCTGGCGTGTCGAAGGGACGCAACTCCGCACAGCGAATCGCAGCGCCTTAGACGACTGGGCCACCCGTGCCATAATGAACCAAACCTAGAAGTATGTAGTTCGTTCACGCTGGCATATATACATTTTGATACCAGTGCATGGTTCTCTATGACCAAACTAATTTGACACTTTAAGGATATGTGTGTTGGAGTGATTTTTTTTGCTGGTTATATCGCTTATTGTGTCATACTAAACCATTTTGTATAATTTGTATAAGGCCTTTGTACATGGGAATACATGTACAATCCTGACACAATGTTTATGTTGTGGCTTGGCTCAGTATGGCTTCATAGTATCAATATGAACACGAAGACGATAGCTCTGCCCTGTTGTCATAGTAAAATGTAGGCTAGAAGGCAGCGCTCCCTTATTCCTGTTGACAAAGTATTGACCTCTCTGATATAACTATAAATTCTATTATATATTTTGAAAAAAAAAATTTAGTAAGCAATTACTCGTTCATTCTCAGTTGTTCATCTTTTATTTCCAAATTAGTATTTTTTAGATAAGATTTTAACATTAGACACTACGAAGGTCGTTTTGGGTTATTAATAATTTCAACAATTAATTATTTGCAATATTTATTTTGTCTTTGCCTTGCTTGAAACGGCAATTTGAAGCCGATTATTTCATGACTGAATTTGTCCTTTCACGGACAGCCTGAACAAAAAGTAGTTACATTTTTTATGTGTTGATTACATATACTTTAAGAAGGAATGTCACATCCATCGAATAAATGTCTAGAGATATACAGAAGAATTTCTAAACACATACAAACAACTTAGTGTGGCCATTAACTTAAAAACCTATGGGGTTCCCGTGTAGTCTTTGCTTGTCGAAATGGGTTGGGGTGGTCAGGTTTGGTGAACTGGTTGACTGCGTGTCATCCTACCCCGACGACATGGACTCTCGCTTACAGTATCAATCACTGGTTTGTCTGGTCAAGTCTCGATTATGTAGTCAAGTAAAGACAAGTAGCAGAATACAAAATATATACTGAATATAAAATACCACAGCTTTGGCATAGTTGGTATTTCACTACATACACTTTGGGAATAGCATAGTCCCTTACAGGCTTAATAAGACAGAATATATCGTCGTTGTTTAAAACCTCTAATATTTATTACATTAATTTCCATTAAAACTTTTTGTAAATATTTAATGCTCATATACGACAACTTCCTTTTATAATACACCATATGTTAGAGCGAGAATTGTCCTTTACAAATTTCGAAATAATTTCTGTAGACCTGCAACTGTAGACCTGTTTGTTTGCAAACCACTTTTGGGATGTGAAAAACAGGTGCCGTATATACACGAACACGTGGATGTGTTGGCGGGCCGATAGCCAGACGGAATGTATAGTATGTCAACAAGTAGGGCAACGTTGTCGTCACACACAAGGGGGGAATCCCGACTAGGCGGTACAACGTAGTTGGAGAAAACCGAGGTTCAATGTATCTTCACGACTGACTCGCATTAACGTTTTCCTGTGACGTGCCATCCATAAACCTATGGGGCAAATGAAAGTATACCGTGTTTGTATTTCTATGATTGATAATTGAAAGAACTGTGGCTGCGTAATTTTGTGTGAAAATAAATTGGTTCAATGACGACTGGGGTAAGAAATCATTGTGCAAGCACACGACTCCTACCATGTTTTTTTAAAAAAAGCAAATTTATTGATTTTCAAAGATAACGTTTCTGAGATACCACTCAGCAGTTGTGTATTATGCAAATTCTTGTTTTTTGTTTTTTTTAAAGTTTTAAATAAAATCTTATTAAGAAAATAGAAAAAACATGTGGAAGTAGTTAGCGAGAATGTTAAACTGATTCATACTGTGTCGTCGACCAAATAATATATTACATGCCCTAAGGCGCATTAGAATTGTGTCATGGTCTGTTATATCTACGCACTAATACGGTAACGTCTTTCCTGTCCGCTCCCACTTCTTGGGCAGGCAAAAATATATATACATGGATCTGAACCGCGAAGGAGAAACGATGTATTATTAATCCTGTTGTTACAAGTGAGGCAGACCGCCGTCAACCATCACCTTATCGTGGGGTATCCCTTATAGCTGTTTCGTGTAAAATATCTTGTGACATTTTTAATCAACGATTATCACAGTGGTTGGATTCATAATATTACACGATTTGTAAAGAGGAAGATTGGATTCCATAGCTCAAAGTTTTACGTGCTTTATAGTCTCGAAAAAGCCTTCGATAATGTGAAATTGGGGACAGTTGGAATAGGCTTTTCTACAATCATTGTACCAGAACAAGTACTGTTAGAAAACATGACCACCTGGCGTTCTTTTTTTATGGGGGTGGTAGTGGCTAAGCGTTCGCTCGTCACGCCGAACACCCAGATTCGATTCCACACATTGGTACAACGTGAAACATACTCACTCACTCTTCATTAATGTTAACACCAGGTGTTAAGCAAGGCTGTATCATGTCTCCAGCTTTGTTTCCTCATATATACACCGGGGCGGTGGGATAGTCTAGTAGTTAAAATGTTCGCTCGTCATGCCGAAGACCAGGGTTCGATTCCCCACATGGGCACAATGTGTAAAGCCCATTTCTGGTGTCCCCCGGCGTGATATTGCTGGAATATTTCTAAAAGCAGCATAAAACAATACTCGCTCACTTATATATAAACCTAGAGGTTAAAGCGTTCACTCGTCACGCCGAAGACCTGGCTGAAGAGATCGACAATCTAAATGATAGTGTTGCTGTTAATGATATGTTTGTCTCCATTATATTGCCTCCATTGGTCTTAATTGTCGCAATAAAAGAAAAGCTCCAGTAAATGCTCAATGTCGTTTCCAACTGGTGCACTAAATGGCGATTGTGCATTAACGCTGACAAGTCGATCATTGTGAACTTCAGAAAGAAGGGTATTGATCGTTCACGTGTACAGTTCTTCTGTTGCAATGTGATCATTAACCATGTGGATTGCTACAAATACGAAGGGCTCTGGATTCAAGAATAAATTTCTTCATCAGCTGATAAACGGCAATAAATACAACTTCAATCCTTACATATACAGCACACCCTGTAGGTTTTTCCTCAGCTTGCCCCGAAATACCTCCAATATTGCATAGTTCAGTTCACAACGAAATGAGTAGGGCAACATGTCGCACAGTACAGAGAATTGAAACTTTCCCTTTATATATGTTACAGGAAACAAGTATAATCAGTGATTAAGTCTAATGACTGGAAATTTCAGTGATTATGTCTAATAACTGATTCACTCGGTGGTTATGTCTAATTACTGAAATCTTCAGTAATTAGACATAATCACTGAAATGAACCAAGGGATTTTATACTTGTTTACTGAAAGCATATCCCTGCCTTGTTTTTATAATGTGTGCTAGTTTTGAAATTAGATTAGCTATCAAAGTAAATACAACCTCCTGTAACCAGATACCTTACACAAAAATCACAGAAATAACCTTAAACAGTTCAATCTTTTATTTCATAAAATGGTATGACGTGAATGGTATGACATGAATGGTATGACAAATAGCAGTCAGATGGACACTCAGGAATGTTTGTTTGCACATGAAAGACTTGAATGACATCTAGAATTACATTGCATCTTGGCCTTAAAACATTTGCAGCGATTGGTCTGACACCGTTTAG